TGTGGACAGCCTTCCCAGAAGAGTTGAAGCTGTTCTAGCTGCAAAGGGTGGACCGACGTCATATTGAACCCTATGGATTAGGAACGGGATGTCACTTAAGCTCATATGTGAGTCAAGGCAGGTGAGCAAATACTTTTGGCAATATAGTGTATATTGAATACATTTATCAAGGCGCTATCTTGCTATTGTAATTATCAGAAATATTTTCACATTTTTCCACCTTAAACATAGAGACATTTTTTTAGACTTAGACAACTTTTAATATCATTTCGTATACACAGATATAAACTTATACAAAATGAAATTTCGTTTTGAACAGCTCTCATGACATTTCCATTTCTTAAAGTGCAGCAGTGATCAAATTTAAACAGTGTGGGAGGGGAAAAAAACAACACATTGATATGGAAGTTAAATATATTTAACTTCTTTATATTAAAGAGCATTATATATGGTGCAATTATGCAGTGTTTTGGTTTGGTTTCGTCAGTGTAGTACAAAGTCTGTGACATGATTTAGGGTTTTCTCAACAGTTCAGCAGTCTGATGGCAGTGGGGAAGAAGCTGTTTTGGAATCTGCTGGACCCACATCGGATACTTTGAAGCCTCTTCCCCGAGGGCAGCAGGGAGAACAGTCCATGTTGGGGGTGTGAGGGGTCACTGATAATGTTACAAGCTCAGGACATGCAGCACTGGGATGAAATGTCTTTTATGGAAGAAAGAGGAGCCCCAATTATCTTCTCTGCAGTTCTCACTACTCGTTTCACCTTCTTCTAATCTGCTGCAGCCTCCCCACCACACAGTGAGACAGCTGGTCAGAATGCTCTCTATGGTGCTTCTGTACAAGGTCGTGAAGATGGATAGGATAGGGGCAGGTGGGCTCTTCTCATCCCCTGCAGGAAGTACATGTGCTTTTGTGCCCTTTTGACCAGTATGGTGGTGTTTTCAGTCCAGGTGAGGTTGGCTGTGATCAGCAACACCAGGAATTTGATGCTGACCACCTCTACAGCTGAGCTGTTGATGAGCAGTGGAGTGTGTTTTTATAGCTTTTTCGTTTTATAGTTTTTTTTGTGGTTAACATTGACCTATTTCAAATGTTGACATGTAATATGTATGTATATGTAATCTGCCCACCCAATGCCAACACCCAACTCACAATTTTCCAAATTCTTTCTTTTTTTCCGAGGCATCTGCTATATTTTAACTTACAAAAAACATACAGTATATAAGCCAAAGTCTAAACAAAATTTTTGATCACAAATGTCAAGTCAGGTTTTAGCAAACCCCCCAAAAGCAGAAACCTAGCAAAGCAGATAATCACATCTTTTCAGCTCTTGCCTCAACCCACATTAGTCCCCACAATAGAGCCACAAGCTCAGCTCTAAATATGGACAGCCTGTCTGATAGCCTATAATTTTGAAAATGAGGGACATAAAACTGAAATCCTACCTTCAAGTAATGTATCTATTAAATCATCACTTTCTTACTGAATGCAATTGTATCATCCATGGCTTTCTGAATACACAAGGCAACGTCAGTCTCAGGCAAAAGCCATTTAGGTAAAGAGGACCAGTAACAATGGCTGTTATTTTTTTGGTTTTTCCAAGACTAGGTGATCAAAAACGCTATTCCTTGTGTAGGTCTCAATCAGGCTTGCAAAACTAACAAGCCTCCATGATGCCACTCATTTGACTTTTGGCAAAAAAAACACATACTTAAAAAAAAAAAAAAATGTAAAAAAAACAATACAAGGGATAAATATCCAAAGTAGGGATTTTTTTTTTCTATGAACATATAGGAAACATTGATAACAACCAGAGAACAACCATTACAGGTCCAGTAAAGGGCTGTCGTCATTGCCTAGATATTTCCAAAATTAGAAATATCCATCCCATTTTAATTTTTGTGGTGTTCTTTTTTGGCTTGTGCAATCAGTCAATTCAGTTCACCCAGTTAGAAGCATTTGTTTTCTCCTGTTAGTTACCATTTATATACTTGTCAGTGCTTTCTTCTTCATTGGTGAATACTGATGCCATGTCTTACAGTTTCTGTTCAGCCACTCATGCCTCCTTCTAAAGCTGGGTTTTAGATGTAATTGGCATCCTTCTAAATTGAGAAATAAATTTAAACTTTTCGTCATCCCATATAAACCCTTAATAATATGTTTTCCCATATAATAGAGCACTTCGCTCCCAGATTGCAGATTGCTGGTGATTTTAAAATTTCTAAAACAGAATTAATGGCAAATATATTATCAGACTCTTCTCCATAGGAAGACAGGCTGTCTGGTTTTGAGACTACTCTTTAAACTTTCCTTTCTGATAAATCTTATAGTGAGAGTGGCTTGGGTTATCTTAAACTATCACTATAGTTATGCTGCTGTAGGCTTAGGGTGCTGGAGGACATAACACCAATTTTCCTCGCTCTACTACATTCTGCTTACAGTGCACTTTTTATTCCATCTGCTTTCTCTTGTTAAAGTGCATCTTCATCTAGCCTGGAACTCTTTTTACCTGTTGCACCATTCTGGAGGG